TATTGGTGGCCCGGAATGAAAAGAGATATAGCACGATATGTGGAACAGTGTCTAACGTGTTTACAGGTCAAGATTGAACATCAGAGACCTTATGGAAGCCTTCAATCTTTGGAGATATCTGTATGGAAATGGGATCACATTACCATGGATTTCGTTATGAAATTACCACGAACACCAAAAGGATATGACACGATTTGGGTAATTGTGGATCATTTATCTAAATCTGCACATTTTCTACCGATAAGAGAAAGATACTTTTTAGAAAAGTTAGCGCAGATTTACATTAAAGAGATTATTACTAGACACGGTGTTCCTATGTCTATCATCTCTGATAGAGATAGCCGATTTACTTCAAAGTTTTGGGAAGGGTTACAAAGAGCTTTAGGATCCGAAATTCGACTAAGTACAGCGTATCATCCACAGACTGATGGATAGAGTGAAAGAACTATTCAAACTCTAGAAGATATGTTGAGAAGTTGCATTATTGACTTCAGAGGATCATGGGAAGATCATTTACCATTAATAGAGTTTGCATATAACAACAGTTATCATTCTAGTATTCAAGCGGCACCATATGAAGTATTGTATGAACGTAAATGTCGAACGCCGTTGTGCTGGAATGAAGTGGGTGAAAAACCGCTAACAGGTCCTGAGATTGTTCAAGAAACTTCCGAAAAGATTGAACTGATCCGCGAAAGAATCAAGACAGCATAGGATCGCCAAAAAAGTTATGCTGATAATCGTCGAAAATCCATTGAGTTTGAAGTAGACGATTTTGTGATGTTAAAAGTTTCGCCATGGAAGGGTGTTGTCAGATTTGGAAAGAAGGGAAAGCTCAGTCCAAGGTATGTAGGGCCGTTCAGAGTATGTAAACGAATTGGGCCTGTAGCATATCAATTAGAGCTACCAGAAGAGTTGAGTCTGATTCACAACACTTTTCATGTGTCGAATTTGCGGAAATGTTTGGCTGATCCAAATTTAGCTGTACCATTGCCAGAGATTCAACTAGACAGTAAATTGAACTTTGTGGAAACACCAGAAGCCATAATTGACAGAAAGATCAGCGTGTTGAGAAACAAAGAGATAAGTCTGGTTAAAGTACAATGGAAGTTTCACAAAGGACCAGAAGCGACTTGGGAATTAGAGTAAAAAATGAGATTAGAATACCTGTGGCTTTTTGATTAAAGGAATTCCGGGACGGAATTCTCTTGAGGGGTGGATAATGTAATAACCGGATCTTGGTTATTACCCAAGGTATGTAATATGTGATTATTTGATAAAATGATTGCATGATAACGTGATAAACTGATATGTTTGATACGTGCTGGTGTGCGAAAATGTGCATTTAATTGGATGAAGGAGTATACATATTTATTTGTATTTATATATATATATATATATATGTGTGTGTGTGTGTGCATGAGTGTGCATGTGGGTGTAGGGTTATTATATGCATATAATATGTGCTTATAGATATACACGTGTATGTAGGCATGTATGTGTTGGTAAAGTATATGCATAGGTGTGCATGAGATGGTCCATGATGCAAACACGTGGCTTGTTTAGGTAGCCCACTCCTTTTTTTTGGAAACTATATAAAGAGGTTTAACCTCTCATTTGGCTTGCTGTCATTTTTAGAAGTTGAGAGCTCTAGAGTGAGTGTTGTCCGGTTTACCAAAAGGAGGAGTTTTCAAGTTGATTTCAAGTGTCAAGTTTCAAAAGAGAATCAATTTCTGGAGTTTTGGTTTCAAAAGCTTTATAAGGTGAGTGGTTTCTAAACCTTTTGTATTAAAATTTTACTGGTTTTAATTACATGCTTCGTATTATTCATATTTGAAGAGAACATGTTTATTTTTGTTCTAAGTGTTATCCGGATAAAGCTTGACCGGATAAGGGTGTAAACCGGACAAGCCTTGTACGGGGTATTGTCCGGATTGTTTTTAAACCGGTTAAGCTTTAAGCGGTTTAGTGACCGGATTAGTATAAACCGGACAAGCCGTGAGCGGTTTGTTGTCCTGAGTTGGTTAAACCGGTTGAGGGTTGAACGGTTTATCTTTAAACCGGATGAGAGTTGAATGGACTAGTGTCCGGATTTGTTATCCGGACAAACTTGAAATTGTTCTAAGTGTTTAACCGATTAGCAAGTGTGTGGTATGATTGACCGGATTAGATATTCGATTAAAATGTGAAATTATTTTAAGTAAAGTATGTTGACCGGATTAGATATCCGGACAACAAAATGGATTTTTGTTCTAAGTGTTAATACGGATGAAGTTTGATCAGACTATTAACCGGATTTGTTATCCGGATGAGTGTTGACCGGATTTGGTTGACTGGACTTGTTATACGGATGAATGTTGACCGGACTTGTTATACGGATGAATGTTGACCAGACTTGTTGATATTATTTGAAATGTTATTTTGTGGCTTGATAAAAATTGTTATTTTATCATAAAATGAAGTTTTGACGTAAATGGTTTTGATCTGAAAATTGTTCCGATGGCTGCGGTTTATTTGGAATTATTTCATAAATGTTTTGGTGAAGAGATAAGGGTGGCATATCAAGGAGAGGTGTCCATTTGTTATAAGGGTGGCATATCAAGGAGATGTGTCTATTGGATATAAGGGTGGCATTGTCTATGTGTGTGACTTTATATAACTCTTTCTATCCTTTCCTTTAAGATTACCGAAATCTGGAATCTTTATTTCTTTGTGATTTAAAGATTTAGGATGAAGGTTCTTATTTGGAAATCATAGATTTTTTTATTATTGAGGAGAAAAGATCTGTTTTGGCCTGAAACTTTGTTAAACCTCGTTATTAAGAAAAAGGTTTAAAAAATGGCATTGTATGGAACCTGATTGGTTCAAAAGGTGTGAGTTTTGAATAAGCTAAGTGATAGCTTGAATCTGAGAAATGACTTGGTATTATGGACTCATATATTTGTTATTCATATGAATACTTGATTTTATAAGGTTTTGGTGATCCTTCACCCTGCAATAACGTAAATAGGGTATCTTACTAGACTTTTAAAGTCTAACCCTCGTTTTTGTGATTTTAAATATGTGTTGCAAGTCGGGTGGAAGGTAAAGGAAAAGAAAAGATTTAGTGCTTTTCTTACGTGCATTTTGGTTGAAGATTTGCTTTTGATGCATAGCTCTGATGATTAGTACAAGTTTGTATTTTGAATTTTTGGACCTTGTGTTTGGTCATAATAGATTTCTTGTACTAGTGGACCCGAATATATTTCTTTGGTATGAAATATGTATTACGTGCAATGTGTGGGTTGGGGCATTACAGTGATCAAATGAAAATCACTCCAATTTGTAAAAACCGTAAAAACTACTCTCATCCGTCGTTAATCTTATGAAATTTTTTCATGAAATTGTTAATCTTGTGAAATTGTTTCATATAATACTTTTTTTGATGAAGTTTCATATGTGGTTATGAAATTGTTTCATATACTACTTAATGACATTTTAATGAAACTGTTTCATATATTTCTCTAAAATTAAAATAATGAAGATGATAATATCCATGATTAACACCCTCAACAATAAAAATGGTTAATCAACCTCTCATAATTACAAAAAAATGAACAAAATGAAAAATTATGATTGGTTGAATGAGGTTTTCACGGTTTTTACAAATTGAGTAGTTTTTATTTGAACCCACCCTTATATATATATGGTTGGGTTCACGTGAGACCAATGGTTTTTCGTGAGACCCGTAAAACCAATTTATGTTCATTGATCAACTTTAAGAGTTAATAATCTAATGGTCTAAATTGCACGGTGACAATTTTGTGATTATTGAGAAGTCTCGTGGCGTTTATGAATGTTCAGATCTGACGATTGTAGATTTAATCCAAGGGTTGAGAATTGGTCTTACTGGTCTCATGAAAAAACATTGGTCTCACACGATCCCAAATATATATATATATATATATGTATATATATATATATATATATAAAATCAAAAACAAGATTTTTTATATCAGTTTATTTTTATTTGTTTAATGCTAATTTTATGTTTATTTCACACAAACATTGTTCTTCATGGTATCATATATCCATACTAAATTTAAATATGAAAATTTTCTATTGGTTTGATAAATAAAACTAACATAAAACAATAACACCTTATACTTTACACGATAGAAAAATAGTGTAGTTTCCGAACCCCCACATCATAGGTACACTAACATACACTACTACAAAAGGTATCAACGTACAACATAAATCCGTCACTAATTTCCAACGAATCACTAATGAAAAGACCATCATCATTAATCTTGCCAACGAAAACACCATCCGTCGGTGGCTTTTAAATTACCAAAGGATTATCGACCGTCAAAAAATATTTATTTTTTGAAATAAATTTTCACATGGCCAACTGAATTCACCATTTACGATGGACACCTATAGCTTGGTCCGTCAGTGAAGGCCTCTAAATTTGAAGTGACATGAAATAAAAGCTCTCTTCTGAGTTAATCGGTCAACTGATAAAAAATTCGAAATTTTAGTGCTTTTCTTAATATGTTACCAATTCGAGTCAAATCTCATTTGAGATCCTTACTCATCTCCAGGTTCTGGAATTAGTTGGGAACTTGGGATGTCGTAAGTTTGACTTTTATATATATATATATATATATATATATATCTACCTACCTTCTTTTCTGTCTACTGATTCTTTTGAACATTTCAAAACTTATATAAAATATATATATATATATATATATATATATATATATATAGTGCACTTGGATGATCATAATTCTAGATGACACGGCTTATACACGTGATCTGTTTACTTAACATATGAACCTTAAAACGACTTAAATGTATAACTTCATTTTCAAAGTCAACTAAAGGTCAAACCAGTTTTAACATCAAGCGATTATAAAGGATATTATATATATTTGAAGGTTTTTAGAAATGGGTTCTCAGTTCTCTCAAGTGGCAAACGTACTCTTGATGATAGCAGTGCCATATACTTGATTGGTTTGGTTTGATTTGATTTATACTAACTCCTCCTCGTCATAAATCTCGTATGTTTTCTTCCTTTTCAATTGCTTGTTTATTATAATATATATATATATATATATATATATATATATACTCGGGATCTGAAAGAATTGAATCGATATAACGACATGAACGAACCTGATCAGTTGTGTATTTGATTTCAGGTGAGTGAAGAGGATCAATGAGGAAGAACTGTACCTGTTTAAAGCTTCTCGCAAAGGAAGATAAGGTTTGTATTCTTAGTGGTGTTTCAAGCCCTTTAATTATTTTTTGATACCTTAGTTTTGTTTTATTGGAAGTGACTTGATTAAAAATGGAAGTTAATTGATGAAACAGATGCATCATTTGTCATGCAAGCAACTCGAGAAAATTATCGACAAGATCACATCCATATTTACAGCCATTGAATCTGCTCGACCACGAGGCGAATCGGGAATACTGGCGTTGTGCTCGTTACACCAATGCATGGAAAAGTGCAAGTTGCTTCTTCATCATTGTTCCGAATCCAGCAAACTTTATCTGGTATATATAAACGTTTCCTAATCGTGTTTCTTGATTGCATAATTCTTTATCCGGTAAATAGTAACCTAGAGTAGCTTGGATGACAGAAACCTCCCCTCTCTCTATAAGGGCTCTTTTATAAATATATTCAAAAAGGTTCCAGATACTCTAACACATCCCTCCAACAAAGGCCGGAAACACAAAGATGTCCTAAATGGTAGATCTTGGCTCTGATACCATGTTAGAATATGTAAAACCCCATTAGCTTTACTTTTTCAAAAACGCCCTTGAGGAAATAACTGAAGGAATATATTAAAGAGAAAGTGTCCGGGTCAATCTTATGTAAACATATTCAATAACACATGATGAACAAACTCTTTTTCAGGCAATCAATGGAGAGAGAATAATATGGAGGTGCGAAAGGATTCGGTATTCTTTGGAAGTATGTTTGAACCAGCTTCAAGACATGGTCGAACCCAAATTGGCTACTCAGGTTTGTTCTTCACCATGCCATTACTTTTGCATCTATTTTAACGAGTATTGCTTCTTTTTTATGTTGGAGTCTCACGTTGATTAGACTTGGACCGTTTCTACTTAATACGTGTTAGAACCTCAAGGATTCTTTTGAAGAGTAATCTAAAAAATGTTCTCGTACTTTTATTCATGATATCAATTTGGGTGTTATTGCAGATATCGCATATCATTGATTATATCAAAACCGTGGTTTTTACTATGGATTCTTCGGACAAAGAAGCAAGAAAAGTGTTATTGACTTTACTTCAACACGATAGAGAAGCATCAAGTTTTGCTGATCTTGAAGAACTCAAAGCTTTCAAGTTTGCAGCTTTTAGGCTACAGATTACATCCCCCATGGCTCTCTTGATCGAAAAACAATCCATAAAAGATCTTCTAAGCAAGATTGGGGATACCGATCCTGCAGCAAAGAAAATCTTGAACTATTTGTTATATCTCGTGAAGAAATATGGAGAATCAATGGAAGGAGAAGAACCCATAACCATTTCTAATTACGAATCAAATGAACATCCTAAAGGTGATGATGATGTTTCAATCCAATCTTCAGATACGAATAGTGTAGATTATGTTACGGATTCCAGCACTGAAGATGGATCTAGCAAGATTATTCATAATGAATCCGAGAGATTTAAGTCTCGAGATAGTGTTACAGACGATGTAACGAACTTGTTTGTTTTTGAAAAGCTTTCGGTTCTTCCATGGGGGTTAAGATGTAAGGTGGTGGAAGATGTGATCAACGAGTTGAACGACGACGATGAATCTCGAAGTTTCATCCCTACCAGTTACATCAAACCAGTTTTTAAGTTTCTGAAAGTGGCTCATCGATTATGCGATTCTAGAGCGAAAAGAAATGGAGCAAAGCTGCTTTTGATGTTGTTGAATGAATGCAGGTAACACTACTCCTAATGCTTCATGTACTTAGGATTGATTATTTGAAACAAATTATGCTTTTCTAGAAAAACACTTATCAACTTATTATAGTTCAGAAGGATTTAACTTCTTCAAAAACTCCTTATTATCGATTTGGCACCCGTATAAATTGTTTATCCAAACACTCAAAAGTGCTTATTACCGGTACCACAACAAAATCAGTTTTTGTTTACCAAAAAAAGTCTTTACATGATAATTTTTCTCCGTAAATGTGTTATAATAAGATGTGAAGAAATATTTGGATATCTTAACAAATTTTTTAGAGAACTTTTGAATAAAGTTTCCATTAGGGTTTTTTATACCGACACTTTTGGAAAGTGTCTTAATTATGAACATATTGTTCGTAAGATACTTTTTGAAATAATGTTATAAAAATACAAACGGAAAGTTTTTTAGGCATATTTTATGTCTTAAAAACCGATTTTGTTGTAATGAAAGCTTCTCTGATCATATTTTTCATGACTTGATACAGAAACGAAGTCCCATCTTTACCAAAGGAGGCAATGCATTACTTGTATTTATTTTTGGATTCAGAAATTATAGAAGAAGCCTTACCAATATTAGAGCTTCTCTCCTGCCACCAACATTACAGTTCCGAAATAGTCTCATCTGGAGTTCCATCATTCCTTCTACAACTTATCAAAAACTCAAACAGGGAACACCATAATTTTGCCTTAAGAATTCTTTGTAATCTTTCGGCTCACACTGATCTTGGAGACCACCTTGTATGCCTCGGATTCATCCAACATCTTGTGCCATTTCTCGATGATCGTATTCTGTCTGCCTATTGTGTCAAAATCTTCAGGAATTTGTGCACAGTTGAGGAAGTAGCTGCTCAATTAATCGAAGATGAAAATTGTATTGAATCCATTAGAGAGATTCTTGATCAAGGAGGTAAAGATGAAGAACAAGATAACGCACTTCATATTTTACTGTGTTTATGTCATCAACATGAACAACTACGAGAAGTTTTGATGCAAGAAAGCATTGTTTCTTCTTTGGTGGATATATCGCAAAATGGGAGTTCTGAAGGGAAGTTGATTTCAATAAAGTTGCTGCAGTTCCTGAAAAATGATCAAGAACGTTTTATTGCGGACGTCTGCCAGAACACAAATATTTAACCTGAAGAGTTGCAGCTTCTCTCCACAGACATTAGCATGTCTTATTATTATTTTTGTATATTTTAATAGATACTAATTATTATCTAAAGACTAATTTGATGTGAATGAAGTTGGCCTTAATTTGATGACTTGACGTTGGTGTGACAAAAAAAATGTAGGAGATATTCCATTGGTGAGTCCGCATAATAATCTAATTAATTCGTTATTATCATTTGTTTTCTTTTGTTTGGTTAAATATAGTTAATTAATTGGGTTTATTTATTGTTTTAGTTTGATTTTTATCTAATAAAAGTACTCTAGGGAACATAATTTTTATAGTGACTTATTTATTAAATATTGTAAATGTTTACGATGTTTTCTACATAAAAATAAGATCTTATACGATCATTATTAATTTGTATATAACTGAAAAAAATAAAGTAACTTATATAAAAATTCATTTATGAACACTACAACAAAATTGGGTTTATAACACACCCCCAATCTCAAAGCATCATAATAGACTGCTTTATATGACTTAATTTATAGGACCAAAATATAAAGCGTCATATCTGAATAGGTTGTAATAAGTTTATATGACACTTTTCGGCGTCTTAACAAGTTTTTTAGGACAATAGTTTGTTGTGATTTTAAATCTTGTTTTATTATCCGTCCCTTTTGATGCTAACTTTATAGTTTGTTGTGATTATAAATCATAAATCAGATGATTTATAAATGCAAAGTTAAAATGTTCCATTGATCAAATATTTTGAAATGATGTTTTTAACTTATGAACAATGATTGTTGATTTAAAGCTCCATTGCAAGTTAGAAGATATTTGGATGGAAGCAATCTTCCATTTTGGTTCAAGTCATTATAGCATGGGCAAAGGGTTACCTCTTAAAAAGGTGATGCTAGACCTAATAGGCAAGGAAAATGAGCATCATAAAGTTGCCTACAAGAGGGGTAAACTAGAAAAGCTTCGTAAAACTCATGTTTTAAGCCATTTCATGGCCTTTCTAAGGTATCAAACTTGTATTTTTAACAACTATCTCTTCTTCATTTCATATAACATCACACAAAAAACTGAATACTGGAACCATATCTTTTGTCATTGAAAAACTATGGCTGAAAGAAAGCCTTCAGGTTTCCGTTTTCGCCTACCGTGGTTACTACAACCTGCATTAACTTCTCGTTCTGCCATTGCTCCCGAGCCGGCACGCACCACCACACAAACCTCTGTTGTATCAACTCCTGCTCAAAGGCCACCATTTCGGCTGGCAGGGATAGCCCCGACACCAGTAGCACCACCACCGACCCTAGCTACACCATCAACACCACCAGTTTCGCCAACACAAGCTCCACCACGTTCAACATCACCACAAGTGCCGGTGGTATCATCTCCACCTCCTGTTCCGGCTAAGTCATCGGCACCTAAATCCGCATTAGCAAAAAATCTTGATCCTGTTGCAAATCAACCTAGGAAAGAAACTCAAACCACTAGTGAAATTGCCGGAGCTATTCCACTTGGTGCTGCTAGAACTGCCGGTGATGGTGAAACTCAGCCCATGAAAGGAACTCAGGACTCCACAAAAATGGCAAGTCCAACAACTCCACCTGCAATTGATAAAGTTGTTGCTACCATTAAAACTCAAACCACTGTTGAAACCCCAGGTCCGGCGGTTCCAATTGCGGCTGCTAGAACCACTGACGCTGGTGAAACTCAGCCCATGAAAGAAACTCAGGCCGCCACAGAATTGGCAAGTCCGGCAACTCCACTTGCAATTGATAAAGTTGCTGATACCATCAAAACTCAAACCATCAGTGAAACCCCAGGTCCGACTATTCCACTTGCGGCCGCTAAAACCACAGAGGCTGATGAATTTCAGCCCACTAAAGAAACTCAGGCCGCCACTGATATGGCAAGTCCGACAACTCCACCTGCAGTTGCTAAAATTGCTAATACCATTGAAACTCAGCCTACAAAGGAAACTCTCACAACCATCGGAACTAAACCAACCATTGAAACACCAGCTCCAACAACCCCACCTCAACGCCTGCCACTTAGGCCACCGTCTCCGGTTAACATACAACCACTTCAGAGAGACACCTCACCGAGATCTCCTTCACGATTAGCCTCTCAGCCTACAGAAAAACCATCATCATCTTCCCCCATAACCACAAGTGCAGTTTCCCATAATACGCCAGAAAAAATGGCAATAGATTCAAATGATGTTTCACGGGGTGGTGATCTTGCCCTAGATGCAAAATCAAAGGAGATAGCAAAAGCGAAAGGAAAACAAACCAAATCCTTAAATCCACATTCAATGGACAAAATCACGGAAAGAAAATCTCAAAAACCAAAAGCAACAGCATCAGCTCGACTTTCCCTACACAGAGAGATCAAAGACGACATTTTCAAGTTCATTCATAAGATAGCAACAAGTCCTCCAAAGAGATGTATGGATGAAAAACCTGCAAGTGTTGTTACAGTTGCTGGTGACAACACTGGGGCATCTATGCATTTAGGTTCAGATGCAACCAAAAGAGATATCCAAAGAGGATATAAGGTTAATCCTGCCATTATTGAAGAGGGAAGCTCAAATGGTAGAGATTTAAAATCTGGTGAAAATGATGAAACGAAAGCAATCGTTAATAGCAATATTCAAGGAATCAATAACTCAATGATGTTCAACAGCTCTGTTACTGAAAGGAACCCGGGTGTTCATCTAGGTTTTTCCCGTAATATAGCAAACAACAACGATTCAAAGATGGAGAATAGGGGGTCAATGGAGACGCACAAGGCTGAAGCCAACATTACCCCACAACAGACACTCGTTTACGATCCCATAATCGAAAGATGCCTTGAAGGGGTTTCCATGGAGGCTTGCGACCTTGAAGCAGATGATGACAAGAAATCAGGCAAATGTTATGAGATAGAAGTTGCTTGATTTAAACAAGAAATACCCATAAAATAAGGATGATATCAATCATGTCTATAACGTTTGGTCTTGTATTTTAGGTTGACTTAATGAACGAACACAAGCTAAATAACAAATTTTTTATATCGTTTTTCATATAAGATTCAGGGTCACTCGAGATAGTATCGTTAAGCCTGTAAACGAATTGAACATTCACTGAACCGTTTAACGGAAAGTTTGTTTATGTATGTTTGTTTATGTATGTTTATTTAATAAACGAACAGGCATGAACAAATGTCTCGTTCGTTCATTTATGTTCGTTTACTTATGTTCGTTTATGATAATAAACTAAAATTTAAATACGAATAATAATCATAATTATAATTCTTAATAATAGGGTAAAGAGTTTACATTTTCTAAAAGATTTTTCTTAAAGAAATCTAATGGATTTAATCTTACCCAACCCTACATTTCACTTATATAGCTGTTTGGTTGTATGGCTTTTTCTCATCTTTTTCTATGTAGGATGCCTTTTTTTTTCCTATCCCACATCGGTGGAAATTAACAAATTTTGCTCCATCCTCTACTATATATATTTGATCCCCAGACCTCAAATATTTCTTAATTAGCAATTCATAGTTTTTTAAATTCTATTTATTTGTAACTCAAAATAGCAGCTTTCGAACCTATTTTCTTCTGAACGACTTATTCATTCTGTTGTTATAAACCTATCGCCTTTCGAACCACAAAGTGATCGCAAAAAGTCAAAACCAGCAAGCCTTGGGAAGTCAAAGGCACCTATTTCATGTGGATTTTAATCTACAATTTCAATAATAATTAATATTGGGTTGTTATTTACTTAACTAACTTTTTGATACTGAGCTTAAACTTGACTAAAAAATATATAATATTTAAAAGCGAAATCATAATTATATAAACATATATAATATTTTGGCCATCTTTAGTGTAACGTTTCTTTATCATAATATACATATACATATATGTATTTCAACGGTTTTTGTTTGATTATATATTATATATTAATATAATATTAACAAATACTATAACCTAAATATCATTTACAATCAAATAAACTAAAATATATAAATATCAAATTATGATAGACCATTTTGTAATAGAAATAGTTCAACGCTACATTAATATAAGTGAATGGTAGAACACCATATTTATTCACAATATCAAAATAATGTAAGAATTGGTGTTTGGTTGGAGTGAAATTGTATGAAAAATGGTGTAAAAATATGATTTGGTGTTGTGTTAGGTCGGAGATGCCAGAAACGAGCATCAAATCCACATATAATCTGCATTTAGGATAATATAAAAATAATTAGGGGGTTATTTACTGTCTGTTGAGCGCCTCTTATTGGGTAAGAGATGCTTACCTGATAAGAAAGAACGTATTTTACCAACACCCTCTTGTCCACAAATATGCCAACTGAGATATGCTTAAGTAAGGAAGGAGTTGCTTTTTGACTCGGTCGATACTTCAATCTGCACTTTGATAAACGATCATTTTTAGTTAGACTTATCCAGACCGCACTCTTACTCGGTTAGGGCTTACTCAATTTATGTTGGTAAATGGTGCCTTAGTAATTCTCTACATAAATCTATACAAAGTATTTTTTATCTTTGAAATGAAAAAAAAAAAAAAAAACAAAAAGAGTTCTAAAGTTACAAGAACTGACGGTATTCGGTGTTGGTTATCCAGTTATAGAAGTGAGCCTATAGGCTTTTACTTTCGCATCTCTCTTTAATTATTAGGGACTCCCAAATGCACAAACTTTTATATGGAATACAAAAGGTTTGTTAGGAAAGAAATATAAACAAAAAATAAGATAATAAATTAAATAAAAACACCAAAAGCTTAACGGCAAGGTTATAAGGATTATATTTGCGTTCAAATTTTTCTACAAAATCATTTATTTTATTTATTTTTGTAATAACAGGCTAAAAGTAGAGATGAACATGGGTTGAGTTGGTTGAATTAAAGGTACTAGAATAGTCCAACACAATCTTTATGCATTTCTTGGGTTTGACGGGTTACTATCCAAGATTTCTCCAAGATTGTTTCTTCTTTGACGACCCTAAGTCGAAAGAATGTGAAGTTCATGTGTACTGG